TCACAGATTAAGCTGGGTATTGGGGTGATTGCAATGGGTCGTAGCTGATTTAAGGATTGTGGGCTGGTTGACTTGGGCACTGGTGACACATATGAAGTCTTCCAGTCAGCTGGGCATCTGGCTTGACTGAGGGAAGCATTGATGATGGAGCAGAGGGGTTTAGCAAGCTCTGGGGAGAACTCCTTGAAGAGTTTCATAGGAAAGTCAATGGGGGTGGTGGAGCGTTTTAACTTCAGTTTGTCCAGACGTTTTGCTACTTCAAATTCTTCTACTAAGTCAGTGGGAAAGGGGGCTAGTAGGCAAGCAGGGACATTGGTTGTGTCAAGCCGGGGGAGCAGCGTCTGGCATATAGTAGCGAAATGGTTATTTGATTGCTCAGTTCCGTCACCATTAGTGAGATGGTTAAGGAAGGGGAGGGGGTGTGTGTCTTATTGTTTAGTCCACAGAGTTCTTTAAGCTTACCATACCACTGACTGATGTTGGTCTGCTTCAGGTGTTGCAATTTGGTTGGGTTGTGAGACTTCTTTGCAATGCATATTTCGTGGATAACTCGGTTGCGAAGGGACCTGTAGTGGTTGTGGTCATTGAGATAAAAGGCTCTGTCTCTCTGTTGCATAAGTCTTTTGATCCGGGGTGTGATCCAGGGCAAATCAGCTGGGTGAGATTGGACGGACTTCTCGGGGAAGAAGTGGTGGTGTTGGTAATTTATCCATTTGGTGTCCACGTCATCCACATTAAGTACTTCAGTCCAGGGATGGTGAACTAGCCAATGCCCGAAGAAACGCACTGCAGAGTCAGTAATCGGCCTGTAGGTCTTGATGTAGGGTCTCTGTACTTGAGTGGGAGTGACAGCTGGGGACCAGAGTACTGATAAGTGTGTGCTTCACCCGATAGGAGGCATTGGTAGAGGTGGTTGGTACTGGTCCGCTAAGTCAGTTAAAATAAGGTCAAGGGTATTTTGACCGTGTGTGGGAAAGTTCACAACTTGTGATAGTGACAGCTGGTCCTGGATATCAGTGGTGTCAATTTCATTATAATCCCCACATATTACTAACTTGGCACATGGGTACCTAACTCTGAGGTGGTAATGAGATGATTGATAAGTGTGCCTCTGGTGGGTGAGCAAGGCGGATGGTATGACACGGAGATTATGATAGAAGCAGTGTGGCGTGGGTGGGCCCGTGGCACAACACGTACCCATAATGCCTCCACATCTGTTTTGACCTGAACATCCAGGCGTGACGGGCGTAGGTCATCTTGAACGAAGGTGATGAAAGAGTTGATATCCCTCAATGACATGTTTCAGGCACAATTTGCCAAGCCTCACATATGGCAACGACGCTAGCGGCGGCTGACCTGACTGTGGTTGCCAGCTCGTCAAACTTGTTAGCTAGGGAAGTGACGTTGGAGAGCAGTAAAGAAGGGAGATCATACCATATCAGTGGAACCTTAGTGTAATGGTACAGTCTGTCAAGGGTGGGCTTCTCTGGTTTCCTAGTAGAGGTTATGGTCCTAATGGGCTTTTGTTTATGACGCCCCTGTCTACGGCTGCGCGCATGGAATATGTTCAGTGACTCGAGTTGCGCAATACACCTTTTCACATATCCGATGAGACATTGTTACATGACTATTTGACAAATTTCATAACCGAATGACAATCTAAAATAACTGTTGGTGGTATGTCATTCTCCAATTGTTACATTCTCAAACTATATGTAGACTGTTGGTTTATTGTTCACGTCTGTCAACTTCATAACTTATGTGAATCATTTCCGTTAGCAAGAACAAACAGTTATTTTAGATTGTCATTCGATATGTGTTCTGTCATTCGGTTATGAAATTTGTCATATAGTTATGTAACAATGTCTCAACGGATATGTGAAAAGGTGTAACACTGCCATCAGGATAACCGTTCCCATGCTTGCTTTAGAAGGTACAGAGAGTGTCGGGAGTAAGTGATTGGTGGCCATCTGTTGATATCTGTTGTTGTGGACGCACGGAAGTGTTTGTCCCCGGTGGCCATAAACTCACTGGTGGCACTTTGAGGGCCACTGACACTGGTAGACATCTGTTAATATTTGTCAGTCGTAAACACCGCGGTGGTCCTTGTCAATGGCACTTTGAAAGTGACCGACACACCCTCAAACATTTATTATTATATTCTCGTATGATCAGCCTCTTATGGTATATGTTTTATCATTGATAATAAAAAATATTAAATACTACTATAAAAAAAATTAATTTGCATTAATGTGCATAAAAATTAAGTAGCAAGCTGAATAATGAGGTAAAAATAAGTACAGGACTATTTTACTGTATATGAAGGGTAATGGTATTAATAAGCTCAAATTATTACAGAAACATATCTTTACTAATTTATAAATAACAAACAATATTTTGCCCAGTAAGAATGAGAGGCAGACGAACCTTTTTAGGGGTGCACAGTCATTTTCTATCCCCAAGGGATAGAATTTATCTGAAACACTCTTTAGCACTCAATGCCATAATATCCTGACCACTGGGGTTAGTTATACACACTTTTCCCTGTAAGAATGCCATAATTTTGAGCAACTTATTACTGAACTCACTTTGTACTCAAATGTACTAAGCTAAAGGACAAACTTTTTTATATTTTGTGCAAACTATGAGTTGTTTATACTTAAATTAATTGGTATCTTGCAGGCATTACAGCAATGAAGGTTATATTTTACTAAGTAAAGTCAGTCACATTTTTTAAAGGAAAAATTTATAGCCCAAAACTACCTTCAGCCTCTAAATCCTTATTGCCTTCTAGCTGGGAGGAGGGGGAGGTGAGGTGCTGACAGCCAGGAGGGGAGATTACCAAGTACGTAGATATCAGCGGAGGGGTCAGGGACTCGGGATTATACAATAGAGGGAGTTAAAGTTTTTAGCTTATAAAATGTCACTGACTTGACTTAGCAGAATATAACTTGCATTGCTGGAATTCTTGCAAGACCGCAATTAATTTGAGTACAAACATCCCATAGTTTGAACTAGAAATAAAAAATTTAGTCCTTTAGCTTACAGTAGTATATTTGAGTACAAAGTGGGTACAGTAATATGTTGTTCATAATATTGTCTTTTTAGTAATTAACTTAGTATATTTCAGCACAGGTTGTTGATATTTGTCATGATTTTTCCACAACTTTTATAAATTCAGTTGCCTCTGAAGATGTCTTGAATAAAGACGAAAGCCAAGGTGCTCCAGTGTTTCCCTTTTCCTGTGTGGTTTTAACAAGATTTGTGTGTGTGTGTGTGTGTACACACACAGGGTGGTGTAATGCATCTTGTGTGGCAACATTTTGTTAGTGTAAGGTGCAAGCACTGCTTGCTCCCTCTCGCTTTCAGCTACCTCCGCTGGCTAACCCTCGTGGTGAATAGGGAAACAACTTGCATAAGTCTTCACCTGCCAATACACAGCCTCTTCAACATCAAGACTCCTGCTGTGCCTCCTCGTGGCAACACACGGTAACTGGGTGCCTCGTGGCCCAGGCTAGACCAGCAGAGGGCCTCAGAGGGATGGCGCATAGGCCCACTGGCATGTGGACACATCCTGGCACCTACCAATTCCTGCCTCGTTGCCTTGCAGATTAACCTTGGTAATGGCTACGGGAGTAAAACCCCAAGCAAAAATCTGCTGTGGAAACCTGCATCAGATGGACAAGCTTATAGAGCTTCAACAACACTCCAATGGCGGTTTAAGTGGAAGAGGTGACCAACATGGAAACCCAACGACTACACCTGCGGAGGAGGGCAATGCATGATGGACAAGCTACCAAGACGAAACCCAACAAACCGGGCTTCTGGCAGTCCATTGCAACTCTCCTTCTCCCCAGTTATTGCAATACTTGCACCACTGAACCAGGAAAAGCGAAAGCCAAGATGTGTGGTTGCAGCCTGCGCTTCTGCCTCACCACATAAATCAACTGACTCGCAGCCATCATCCAGCTCATCATACTTCTCATCATCATCAAGACCCCTATATCCCCAAAAGTCCTTTTGGTGACGGACGAGTGACGACGGGGACAGGCAGAGACGACTGCTGGGAGTCTCTAGTCACAACTCTGCACATGGGTGGTATTGATAAGATGGTCATTTATGCACTGGGATCTAGGCAGCAGTGCACTCCAGTCCTGTCTATGACTGAGCAGCTTTCTCGAGGACCCACTCTCCTAACCCCACATGGGGAGGGGGCTAGAAAAGGTGCCCTAAAAATAGCCTACCTAAAGAACCAACCAACCGCATCCAGTAAGGTCATCCTTATGCGGTCGAAAATACAATCATAATAACAAATCAAAACAAAAACAAACCATACAATCTCTTATGGTCGCTGCATGGAATGTCAGGACCCTTCTGGATACTGGCACAAATGAGCGTCCTGAAAGAAGAACTGCCCTTGTGGCAAAAGAGCTGGCTAGGAATAACATCAACATAGCAGCAATTAGGGCATAGCTATACCCTTTAATACAGCCTTAAAACCTGGCTCACTCTTCTCCTCTTAGGTAATGTTTGTTCTATCTGGAATTTTCTTCAAAATAATCCAGTCTCATCCACATTAAACACCTGTTCTGGCAGGTAACCCCCCTCATTGATAATGTTTGTATCTCTGAAAGTTTGTAAGTTGAATGTTCTAAAGTAGAGGAGCACCTGTACAGTATGTTAGTGGTAACAGTTTCCTTAATACTCCCTGCTAAAATGTTTTTTTTATACATTTAGTACATTAGCCATAAGCTGAAGTAGGTTTTACTGTGTCATGTGTCTGAGGTGTCTCCATAGGTGTGAGCGTATTAAAAGAATTAATATCGATTTTGCAAAGTAGTTCACTAAATCGAGCAAAAAATAAAGGTAAAATGCCTACTGCTAAATCGAGATTTCTTTAAATCGGATTCCGTTAAACCGAGAGTACACTGTACCGTATAATTATAACACTTCCAAACTCCATGCCTTCACCATGTTCAAACCTTATCTATGTGACTTACCTCCTGCAGCACAGGGATGACTGGGGGTTTACACTGCTGTAGAAAGTGTAGCACCATCAGGATGTAAGCGTAGGAAGAAAGAGACCCTCGGGATGCATCCCCAATATCACACAATTTGGCAAAGTACTTCATAGCATACCCAAGGCACTGAAATAATATGAAAATCTTTCAGCAGAATTCAGGATCATAGACTATGCCATTTAATTTTAAAAAACAGGCATACACATACACAAAACACACACACACAGCACAAAACACATGCACACACACACAGGACAAAACACATGCACACACACAACACATACACACACACATTACAACCCTCTTAGTGTTCAGGATGCATGCCTGAACATAATGCTAAATGAATTAGCTCTAAAAGGGGTCATCATACCATTATATGTTTCACTTGATTATTGGTAAACACATTTTTACAGTACAGTATTGAAGCATTTATTTAATGTAATGGTGGTCTTGACAGAACCTTTAATCTTGTCTGCATTCCTCTCAAAAGTCTTATTGTCGACACAACCATGTTCAAAGAATTACCCATGTTGACCTGATACAGTACTCACCTGATTCCAAATACCTCAGCACTTACATTTTAACATTCAAAGTGATGCTTTTCCTTGGACATTCAGACTCCTTACCAGGACTATCATTTGCAAACCTTTTCCCCAACATATTTTCAAGTAAAACTTTCAAATTAATGTCCAAAATTAAGTATAATAAGGAAAACAATGTGTAATCCACATTCATAGGAGGCCAACATTTTTTCAATGTAAAGGCAACAGCTGGTTAGCAATGTTTTCAGTACCAAAAATGACAGCATGTTGCATAACCAAGCAATCAATTTCCAAAATGTTATCAATAAATGAGATATCAAATAATATACGTACAGATAGACTCGCAACTTACGCATATTTTTCTTACGCGGTTTCAACTATACGAGGATTACCCCGGGGGTTAGGTTACAATTTCCAATTTCAAACTCAATGTTTTTATGTCTAGTGCAAGCTATAGCATGGAGTATTTCTGACTTTACACTAAGTCCCAGGAACGTAACCCTCGTGTAAGTTGCGAGTCTACTGTATATCAAAGTGGGAGTAACAGACAAAACTGCTACACTGTAGAGACTCTTGCTAAGATACACTTTACCATATTTTACGGCACGACACTTTTTTTTCAGAAAAATGGCAAAAAAATCGGCCTGTGTCCTATTTATGAAGTTGTGGTCTCCCATAGGCTAAATTCTACCTAACCAACTTCAGAATAAAAAATATGTTATAACTTACTTAAACACATTACTGTACTATTATTTTTAATTAATTAAAAAATAACTAATTGTAAATATAAAAGATGAATTTAAACTACTTACTGAGGATGATAGCCCGATATGATTAACGTCCATATGGAAGGCACCCAACTCTTCAGAGGTAACTAAGCAGTAATCATTTCTGAACTCTTACAAGCATTACAATCTATTAATACCATACCAGCAACATTTATTTTAAAATCTACAAATAACCCGATACAAATGATGATTTACAGATAAATTTCTTTTCACATCTGTGTCTGTTAACATCGTCGGCAGCATTGGAGCCAAAAGTTGAACTCGTCACTGTAACCACCAGGCTACCGGGCCAAGTTGTGAGGTGATATGGTTGCTTTTCAACTCGTATTTTTGGGTAGATACACATAACTTTCTTCATTTATTTTTACGCAATTACATGTACATACTATCTTACATATCCTACAGACAAAGCAAATGTCCTAATGAATGGAAAACAGCATTTGTCACTCCTATCCCCAAGGTCCCCATCCCACAGTCCCCTAGTGATCTCAGACCAGTTGCCATTACCCCCATACCCAGTCTACTCTGTGAGGCAATATGAGGACCTCCTCTACATCACACTGCTTAGTTAGCTTCCTGGATTTTCTGCACAAAAACCTGGAGAAACGTAAGACATCACTGGCCGTTGCCCTTGTTGACTTCAGGAAGGCGTTTGACCTTGTTGATCACTGCACTGTTATCAACAAGGCCATTGCACTAGGGCTGCCCACCAACCTGGTCTCATGGCTCACTGATTTCCTGAGTGAGCGTCGTCAGGCATTTTTTTTTTTTTTTTTTAGGTTAAGGTGGGGAAAGGATGGAAGGCATGCTGGGGCTCAAGGCACAGCCAGACATGAGGGATGGAGAAGTCACAACATATAGTCGTGGGGGGAAAAGTTGGAAAAGAAGTTTAATGAGTTAAATAGAGGGGGACGACACCCCTTGTTTTACATATTACAGAGTTTGTTGGCTAACTAAGCTAACCTAGGATTTAGAATGAGGTTGCACAATGGTTATTTTAGTAGACAATGACTAGATTGATTTTACAATTACAAGTTTATTAACATCTTATACTGTATTACGTTATGGACTCACTTGATTGTGACTTGTTGAATGTGAATTTACATCATCTAAGTTTTAATCTAAGGTGGATCACTGTGGCGGACATAGATGGATCGCGGGTTGGGTTGTTGTAGTGCGGGCAGACTCCGGGGCCACCAGGCGTGGGGTCTCCCTCCGTTGATGTCTTCCCCGCGTAGGTGGTCTGGGCTGTGAGGGTCGTCCAGGAGCTTGTCCCAAACCTTCTTCCCTGGGCGATGGAACCTGAAGTTGAGGGCTTCTGTTTTATTTCTTAGGTGGATGGTTTCCACTGTCTCCTGGTAGGGTGGCGCTTGGCCACTGGCTGACCTCAAATACTTGTTTTGGAAGCTCTGTAGTTGTTGTAGTCTGGTCTTCCCGAGTGTGACGAGTGGTATAGATGGGTACTCCAACACAGGCCTCACCAGCGCCTTATACAGGTGAACTTGTATCTTCTCAGGCATCAATTTAAAACGTTTTAATTTGGCTGCGGCGACTTTGGCTTTATTTAGTCTGTCCTTCACGTGGGGAATGATGCCCGTCCGAGAAATGATGAGGCCGAGCAACCTGCCTTGTTTAGAGTACTCAATCTCTTCGTTGTCAATCATCAATGGGGCCGGCTTGAATTTGGCTATGGGTATGACCTCAAATTTCGTTTTGTTTGTTTTTATTTTCCATTTATTTTCATACTCCGAGATCTCCTCTATTGCCCGAGCAGTGAGTCGCGCCATCCTTGCTGCGAACCTTCCTGGGCAGGTGACGATCTGTGTTACATCGTCGGCATACATGACGTACTCGCTGCCGACGATTGGGGGTGGCAGGTCAGCCGTGTAGAGTGTGTAAAGGGTTGGTGAGAGACAAGAGCCCTGAGGCATGCCGCTTGACAGTGAGAATTCTTCTTCAAAATGTTCTTGCATCTTGATTTTGGCTCTGCGGTCCATAATGAAGTTGCACAGCAGGCGCGTCAGATTTCCGGGTAGCCCCAGTTGTATGATCTTATACTGCAGCCCTGCGTGCCAAACTTTGTCAAACGCCTTGCTGACGTCCCTCAGTACTATATTGCACTGCAGGCGGCCAGTCATGGCATTGGCGATCTGCTCGTAGGCCTGAGCTATGGCGGTGGATGTGCCTCGGTACTGGCGGAAGCCGAACTGGCGGGGATTATGCACGTCTTCGTCCTCCAGAAACATCCGCAATCGCTTGTTGACTATTTTTTCGAAGATTTTGGCAGGTACCTCTAGCAGCGATATTGGTCGAAAGTTTTCGACTTTGTTTGGAGGCTTCCCTGCTTTTGGTATGAGGCGAATAACGGCGATTTTGAACATCTTAGGGAAGTATCCAGAGGCGAGGCAGGTGTTGCATATATGAGCAAGCCTCTCTATCATGTTGTCGGGGAGTTGAGCCAGGATCTTCTTGTTAATGTGACTTTGACCAGGTGATTTGTTTTTAAACCCTGTTATGACGGCTGACACATCTGCAGGAACTATGCGCTCCGTCAGGTAACTTCCATCCACCAGTCTAGTGAAGTCAGTCCGTGGGAGCAGCTGGAGCAGGTGCTTATGGTCCTGCAACTGACCTAAAATGTCCTCCTCAAACTCCCTGTCGAAGCCCTAGTTCTCCTGTTCACTAATGGTAAAGATCTTTCGTAAATATCGCAGATGTAGTTGTTCTTGGTTTTCTTCCTCGAATATTTTTACGTTGTTTTGGTCGAGCAGGTATGGGACCGTGCTAGAGGTGGAACCCATCAGTCGCTTGATCCCTTTCCAGAATGCAGCAGAATTGTGGTAATTGTTGGCTGCCTCCCACACCAAGGCAGCCCACTTTTGTTCATGTAGACGTTTGCTCTCATGCTGGATGTCCGTCTGTAGCTCTCGGTACCGGTCTCTCAGCTCCTGCGTCCACCCGCGGATACTGGCTAGCTGTCTCACGTGAGCGTACTGGACACTGAGCTGCCTCAGCTGGTGACTAGTGTGAGGATGGGGAATGGTCCTGTAACTGGTGGTCGGGATGTTGTTGTCCATCTCTGTCTTCACATCTTTATACCATTGTTCGACCGCGTCGTCGATGTCATTGGGGCTGGCTTCTTCCAGGTTTCTCCCCTGCTTGAGACTGAGAGACACCTTGAAGGAGTCCCAGTCTGCCCATTTGAGGTTTGACCTGATGTTGGCGGGGATCATAATGGGATTGGATGAGAGCGTCACGACGACTGGCAGGTGATCGCTGGTACTGATGGGTCCGGCGGTAACGTGCCTGTTCAGGACGGCCTCGTTGTTAGAGAGGATTATGTCGGGTGTTGTGGCACTGGCACGTCTGATCAATGTCGGGAAATCTGGCCCGAGGTGTTGCAGTTTTCCCCTTCTGATGTTGTCATACAGCGCCACACCGACGTTGTTCTCATTACCGTGTCCTAGTATGGCGTGGCGCGCATTTAAGTCCCCTATGATGTATGTTGGTTTTCTGTGGCGTAGCAACTGGTTTAGGTCAGGCAGTAAGGTACCAGGGTTCTGTCTCCACATTCCAACACCTCACCTGCGGTGTTCCCCTGATCAACGACGCTCTATCGGACACTCCTCACAGGTGGAAGTATGTGGATGACTGCACTGTGGGGGTTACAGTGGACAACATCTCACCGGACTACACATCGCTACAAGGCACCCTGGACAGGCTACAGGCATGGACTACGGAAAACAAGGTCACCATCAATCACACCAAAACCGTAGTCACGCATTTCAATACCGCCACCACTCCAGTGCAAGCTCCAGCAGTTACAGTGGGTGCCCATCCTCTCCAGTTAATGCAGTCTGCCAAACTCCTGGGGGTAGCTATAGACCACAAACTGGACTGGAAGGCCCATGTAAACAACACAATCAAGGCAGCCTCGTACTGACTCTACATGCTACAACGACTCAGGTCAATTGGGGCACCCACGCCAGAGCTGAGAACTATCTACAACGCATTTATTCTCCTCAAATTAACATATGCGCCACCAGCCTGGTCGTCTTCTCTCAACTCAACCCAACAACGTCGGCTAGAGAAGGTACAGAAGAGGGCCTGCAGAATCATGCTCGGTGCAGACTACTCGGGCTACAACAACGCTCTCTCCATCCTGGAAATGCCATCCCTCAGTGACCTCCACCACCACGCACTAACAGGATTTGGCAGTGGGCTACTGCACCATCCTCGTCATCGCCACCTACTGCCATTGGCAGTCCCCCGCCCACCTCGCGCAGTCTGCCACTACAAAATAATTCAGCCCATAAGAGCCCGCACCATCCCATCTATTGTTAAAGTAATAAACAGCTCCTGATTCATGTACTGTACAGCCCTGTAAATGTATTGAATGTATATTATTATGTCTAAATCACATGTAAGTTTGTATATATTCAGCCACCGGCTGCAACCCTATTAATAAACCGATTATTATTATTATTATTATTATTATTATTATTATTATTTTCATTATTATTATTATTACATATTATGAAAAAAATTAAAAGAAATGATTGTCACAAGAGCAAACACATAAAAGGGTATAAGCATTATTTCTTTGCACCCAAGCTAGCTGGCTCAGTGGGGGTGGATAAGGGCACAGAGTGTGGGGGGAGCATTACTAGGGACTTGGCTGAGGTAGCATCCCTGCTGGTCTGCATTGCTATAGTGAAGCTTGGAGTGCATGCAAATGACGATTTTGTTAAACTTTCATTTGGCTTTTATTTACTGGTTTGGCAATACATTTACTAGTACTGTATACAGTATACTATTTTAACAAACCTATGGCTACAGGAGGAAAATACACAGAATTTTTGTTTTTCTAAATACTCCCTGCTAAAATGAGGGGTGTGTCTTTGTGCCATAAAATATGGTAATTCATGCATATTCCAAATTATCAATGTTCTTAAAAAGTAAAAGTTTGATAGTCTGGCATGGTAAGTAACTGGAAAACTTAGGTATCTGCAATGTTTAATATCTCCAAATATTCAAAACCTGAATATCTAGAATATTTTACTTATTAATGAATTCATAGTTTAAATGTATACAGTATTTACAACATCCATTACTGTTAACAAAACTTATCATAGGGGAAACTCTTGTAATTGACATACTCATATCTGATACTGCCGAGATCCACTAATTGCCTGATAATAACCCTATTACGGTATTTCTGTACAGTATAATATACAGTAAAAGGACAAACTTAACACTGAATACATTTTACTCAATCCAATTTTAAATGATACTGACAAGAGTGCATTGATGAAGCATAACAGGGATGAGTACCTGTACTGAAAAATGGCAGGTCAGGGAAGGGGTTTCAAGTGGCTCATAGAGGCAGCTCCCCAAACATATCACCACAAATATTTTAAATGAAAAATTTCACTGGTAGCTAAGTTCCATACTGTCACAGCTCTGACAAAAAAAATATGTAACACAGAAATAAAATATGATAATTCACCAAGCCATATACCTGTGTCATATCAACCAATGAAAAATAAAACAAGTTGCTATCAAAAATGAGTTAAAAGAGTTTCAAACTGAGAAAATTGTCTGCTGATATTTCAACATTACTATTTAAAATACCAATTTCAAAACACCTAATTAAGTTTTAAATAAGGCTGAGCAGAATATCTAGAACATTTAAATGTTCTGGGACTTTAAATATACTTCCTTGATTTTTTTATTTGCCCACACAAATTTAAGAGTTAATTTGCTTACCCAGTTTTTTAGTTATGGGAACTGATAAATAAGCATTTTATGTCATTCAAATTGATAGTGTATCATCTCACAGATAGCTTATGTCCATCTAAATGCATTTTACCATCACCCTTTTCCATCCAGTGGCATCTGAAGAACCCAGTAAATTTTCCTTGCTCTGCTTAAGATATCAGTTTTATACAGATTATCAAGTCAGGTGAGAATTGACCAAAAGAAATAGGAGGGATCAGCTGTGACATAATTAAAGCTGTAGCACACACCTGGGATTTCTTAGCAGGTCACATCATTGTGGGAACAGAAAAGTTAGGATCAGCTCAGCTGTGATGCCACGATATGGCATCAGATCAAGCATATAAACACAACCCCCCTCACTCCTGTCACCCCAATGGTTAACAGACCTAATTTATTAAACATGTTTGGAGAGGTGGTGTCATGCTGCACCTAGCAAATTTCCATCCAGGCATTTTCCTCTCAAAATATTAACTTGTCCACCAGACACATGGGTATGAAAAATCAATTGTCTGGTCCCAAGTCTGGGCATGTCCGAGCTGCCGTACACTGCTAATCTACACAACCTGCGGTAAATAATTAGCATTTTAACTTTACAGAAGCAATTCTGAGCTACAAATGGCCTTGAAAGAAAAGCAAATCATGTACACTCGCTCCAAAAAGGTATATTTACAGAGGGGTCCGATGAATTTCAAAATGAACACAGCGACACCTGTTGACTTGGTAAGGTTGTCAAAATCCTTCATTCATTGTGTCATTTAGTCTCGCGCAAAATCGTAAAGAATTTTTGGGGAGTGAGTATACATGCACTAAAGGAAACATGAAAAAAATGGTTTGAAGATATAAGGTTTAACAAGAAAATGAAGCATCACCAGTATGTTATCAGAGATGTCAATTATAAGCTTCATAGGGAAAAAGAGCAGGCTACAGCCAATCAATGAATGTGCTGGTGTAGCATAAAAGTACTGCAACATACAGCTAACAACATGACAACTGCACACAGGCAGTTCTGCAGAGTATAAAGAACTTGGGAATGACATGCAATTAAGTAATAGGTACAAACATTCCTCACCTTCACCCTATGATCAATTTTGGCATAGGTATATAAAAGTTTAGTATTCTGTAGAGCTAAGGTGTTGTAGAGAGATAAGTCGCCCTCAAGGCAGGCACGCCGGATGGAAAACTTAACGATGGGAACCTTAGCTGTAGTAATGGCAAACACATGGCCACACTGACGATATCTTTTCAGTTTATCTGCTAGGGATTCTATGATCTTGATATGATCGATATCCTGAAAAACAATAACAAAATTTTAGAAAAATTTAAAATATCTTTATTGCTCTAATATTTATACTGGCATTTGCTCTTTAAAGGGAATCTTAACTCCAGGAAAGCCTCCAATAATGATGATTCTACTAACGACAATTCATATTTAAAACCCTGGTTAATTTAGGACCCGATTCAATTTACACCATTATTTTATTCGTATTTAAGAAAAAAATAGAATAACAAATAAAATAAAATTACATTTTCATATGTATATTATAACTAAATCCCGAAATTTTATAAAAAAAAAAAATACCGTGTACATGGATGCTGCCGGGCTGAACAGGAACAGGAGAAAAACTTTCTCAGGCTTCTTACAGAATTTTCAAAATGAGCAAAAGAGCAAGTGATGGTAGTGCTGGTTCAAAAGCTAAAAGAATGTGTATAAGACTAGCCGAGAAACTAGATGTGTTAAAACGATATGAAAAAGGCGAGAAGTCTGTGGATATTTCACGCGCTTTGGGGATGGTGGAATCAACAGTGAAAACTATCCATAAGAATGAAGAGAAAATTAAAGAAAGTGCTGTCTACAACTCTGTTAAGTACAAAGAAAGTTTGCCAAAGCAGGAGTGGGGTTATGGAAGAACTGGAGAGACTTTTAAGTATATGGATGGAAGATAAAAATTAGAGGCATACTCCACTGAGCATTTCAATGATCTTAAAAAGAAAGTAAAACTGAAAAAGCTAAAACCGAAAAGTTCAGTGCTAGGTTTAAAAAAAAGCCACGGGTTACATAATTTAAAAGTCACTAGTGAGGCAGCAAGTGGTGATTTATCTGCTGCTGCTTATCCAGAAGAATGTGTCACCTGAGTAGAAACTCAGACAACATCATTGGCTGTGTCCTTATGTTTTTTAATTTACCGCCATTGGCGAGTAGAATTTTTGTCTTACATTCGTAAGCATTAATTAAAACATATATGAACAGTAATGAGTGGTGCTTTCTTATTCTTATGTAGAGAAATGATGCCCTGTTTTGACGTGTGAACCCTTATATACGTTGGCATTGTGCATTCCATTTCGCTTTTTTTCTTTACTATTAGTTAACTATTTCTATTGTTCTATTTATTTACATTAATAATATTAATTAAAACATACATACAATAAAATCTCGATGATATGAGTAGATACGTTCCTTAGAGTCTGCTCGTATAGCGAAAACTCGTATAATGGAAGGAATAATACATGGGTTAAATAAGGATGCATTCCCGAGCACCGAGTATGGCGATGAGAGTAAATAAATGCGATTCAGTACAAGCAAACAAACTGGGATAGCAGATTTAAACATTGGAGAAGGGAGAGGGTGGCTGGGGGAAGGGAGGTAGGGGAGGGTGCATGCCTAGCTGAGTGGGTCACAAACATGTCTCTGTGCATCTGGCTGGGGGGAGGGAGGTATGGGAGGGGTGCGTGGCATGGCTGAGTGGCTCACAAACATGTCTCTGCACATCTACGTCATGAGAGATGTCACAGATCACGTCACTGCTTGTTCCGCCTACTCTGCTCGGGGGAAACTGAGCAGCATTGTAGCCAAATTAGACTCGTCACACAACCACCAGGAAGGCTACTGGGCCAAGCTGTGAGGTGTTATGGTTGTTTTTCAACTCGTATTTTTGGGTAGATATACGTAACTTTCTTCATTTATTTTTTACTCATTTACATGCACACACCATCTTAAATACATATCGTGAAAAAGCTAAAAGAAATAATTATCCTAAGGGCAAACCTGTACTCAAATGTACTAAGTTAATTACTAAAATTTTTGTCTAGTGCAAACTATGGGACGTTTGTACTCAAATTAATCACTTTTACAAGAATTCCAGCAATGTAAGTTATATTCTGCCAAGTCAATTGAGTGACATTTTAGAAGTGAAAACTTAAACTCTCTATATTTGACTGATAAAAATGCACTTGGTACCCTTCATTACCCGAATGTGTCAACACCTCACCTCACCCCACCCCCTCCCCCATTTTCCCAGCCAGGGTAAAGGTAGTTTTAAGCTTAAAGTTTGGATCTTACAAAATGTCAGACTAAACTTAGCAGAATATAACTTGCATTGCTGGAATCCTTGTAAGATGGTGATTAATTTGAGTATAAAGATCACATAGTTTGCAAAAGATATAAATTTTTTAGTCCTTTAGTGTAGTACATTTGAGTACAAAGTGAGTACAGTAATATGTTGCTCAAAATTATGGCATTTTCACTGGTGTTACGCTTTTTGTATCATCGAGCAATATCACTTGTATAGCGAATATAATGTGCAAATTTCTCAACCTCGTATCATCGAATTCTCGTATAACGAGATCCCCCTGCATTCCTATTTTAACACTAATTTTACTACAGCTACAATCAGGGTCTTATTTTCTTAAATTTCATATGTACTGTAGAACCATTGTCATGGGTGTAAAAACTAACGAAAATAATGGCGTCCAGTCTCCTCTCGTGTGACTACACATTATTATTGATTTATTTTGAATAAGATGCATTAACAACCATTATTTAAAGATAATAGTTTAGATTTTTCATTAACTTTTATTTTTTGGTGGAAAAGGGGGTAAAAAGCCACACAAAATATATGAAAAGGTCACACTAGGGAATGCATTTTATTATTATTATTATTATTATTATTATTATTATTATTATTACAGTGACCCCTCATTTAACGAACACCTCGGTTAACGTAATTTCGATTAACGAACTGCCTTCCATAAGGATCTTCAATTCGGTTAACGAAAAAAAATTCGGTTAACGAAGTTCTTACGAACCGACCTCAACATGTTTTCGCTTGCACTGACCGGGCAACCAGCTTTAGTATCAGTCCGCCAATACATTAATCGGTTCTAGGGCTTAAATTCCTTACTATTTTAGTAAATATCAAGAAGTTTATACTATTCAATAATTTTAAAAGTTTAATATTCAATTTTTTAGTCATTTTAACAATTATTGAACATAATTGAAGGTAAAGTGACTAGTTTAATGCGGCATCCAGCCTCTTAACACAGCAAACAGGAGTTAGTCTCTCTCTGTTTTCACTGGAGGTAACATCTTGCTTGAGACTCTCTTCAACTAAATGCTTTTTTTCTGTGTTTCCAAGCAAATTATTGGTCATTTTGAAATATATTTTACATATTGACAATATATAATGCAGTGCAGTGTTGATTTAAAGAAAATAATCTTGAATTACACCAAAGAGAGCTAAAATTTTATGGGTGAAATGGTGCCATGGGGTGACTTCTCTTCCACCCCAATGCCTTCTCTTCTTCCTTCTCCTCCACCCCATTCTAAATCCCATCATCATCATCATCATCATCAGGAGCCTTCTACATACACACCTCAAAGTAAGTGAACTTTTCTACCATTTTTGTTGAATTTAGGAAATTTTCGGTGAGCTGGAACCAATTTCCCAAAAACCCATTGAAACAATGGTTTCGGTTAACGAACTTTTCGGTTAACGAACGACCTTCTGGAACGGATTGAGTTCGTTAACGGAGGGGTCACTGTATTATTATTATTATTATTATTATTATTATTATTATTATTATTATTATTATTGCTTGATTTTAATGGTAATTAATGATTCACAATATGATGATTCATCTTACACTGCAATATTAGAGGACATATTACTGTTGTTATTCGAGGCTTTACTGTACTGGTCCATGAATAAATGAAAGAAAATATGCGCGCACACGCAAGCACACATAAAAAGCTGATTATGAAAACTGTAACTTTAGGAACACTTTTATAGTAATGAAACTGAACAAAAATGATTAAGGAAACCCCATTCATAATCGAGTTGGTGAGAGGGAGACTTGTTTATAGTGTATCAATCATGGTTACAGGTCCCAACACAGGCTTAACCCTCAACAGTTGTGGCCGGCACTAAGTACACAAATTATAAAACTATTTTACCAAAACCATAGCCCATCAAAAAGGGTATTAGAGGCAACCACTACAACTAAAATCTGAAAGGTAATTGAGTCTTCACACCATATGTAACCAGTGCAACCTTGCCTTCCACTGTTCACTGTAAGTCATTTCTGGAATTCCAATAACCAACTCAGTCTAGATGAACTTCACTGAAAGGGGAGACAAAATCAGAATCTTCTTGTCACCAACTGTCAACAAATAGGATTTTCATGATCAATCCATCCTTTCTTATTAAGCATCAGTTCAAAGGTGACTATATCTGTAACCCACTATAAGAATGGAGGAAGAAAAAAGAAAGCTCCAATTTCTGTGACCTACATCCTGTAAGGGATAGATATTAAGCAGCTACAGGACAGTGCTACCTTACAATCCTATTGCTCACATAGTTCATCAAAATGCTTGTAAATAGCAAAATTGAAAACTATTGTAACCTTCAACATGAATGGACACCAAATATATTCTTTACATAGAAGTTATCTCTGACTTCCCCAAGAACATGAAGCCACAGAGTGCAACCAAACTGTGTAAGGCATACATACATCTTCCTGAAGAGCAAGCTTTAGAAGCTCAACACTCAGATTGTGAACCAAATTTAGATTGAGTTCAGAACAACTGTGGATGCCTAACAAAATCAAATAAAGCAAGAGAAAACCAACAAATGAATCAAGAAACTATTTCCTCCCCTTAGCTGAGAGAAAATGACTCACCGCTCATGGCTCAATTTAGCATTCTAATTCTTAAACAAAGTTACAAGTTCTATTATGTTTTCCTAGCTGAGAAAATCACCAACCAAAAAATTATGACTTCAAGAGCTATTTCAAAAGATTCCCGTACAGGTATCCCTCCCTCTACGAATGGGTTATATTTCTGAAAAACAAATCATTAAGTGAATTTTTGCATAGCAAATAAAAGAACATATGGGAAAGATAAGGTTCAGTTCCCCATGACAAGAAAACCCTAATATCATACCCCAAAACAATGAAATCATTTCGTGAATCAAAAACTGAAAATATAGTGTGTGTGTGTGTGTGTGTGTGTGT